TTTGAAAATGTAGATCGGATCTGCAATATTTTGATTATTTTGATTGGCTGTTTACAGCATGTGACCCGAACTTTTTTTTGCCATGGCCAGGGTACTCTAATATGCATAACTGTATAACATATAAAAATATAATTATTCGGCACTTCTGCACTTGTTTATAAGTTTGAATGAAAAATTGATTAAGAAATTGATCAAGTAATTTATCGGCTATAGCCGGCTATAGTCGATAGTCGATGATAGCTGACCGATAGCTGACCTAGCTGACCGAACCCATCCCTATGTGCCACCAATCGGGCACGCATTCAAGAATTGCTAAAAAGTAATATTATGACAATTTCAAGCAAAATGAAGCGCCAAATTGTTCTCGATGTTAAATACATAAGATACTATTTATTACCGAATAAAAGTGAATAGGAATTTTTTTAGTCCAAATAAATAAAACAACATAACCTCCGTAAATTTTTGCTCCAAAATCAGATGTATTGCTTTTAATTCTAATCGGCAACATACGATAGTTTATTATTATTTTCAATTGATAGAATTGGAATTACGATTAATGCAATTTAACAGTTTTTCTTAAAATAATCATATTAAAGATTACTAATATATTTATATATTTAAAATTTTGCTTTGTTTTAAAACTAATTATGCTCATTATTATTTTTAAATCTTTTTACTCTTATAACTATTAGTTACAAAGTTTATATTTATATTTATCATATTTTAAATAAATATTCACTTGTTATCTTAACTAGACCATTGTTTAAATTTTTTTTTTCTTCGCCTTAATGAAAATTAGTCAACTTATTGTCTTTGTTTTTGTAAGATAAACTCGTATATAAAAGTTGCTTGATTCAAATGATAATAAAATTCTAGATCTGGTATACATATAATGTCTATACACAAAAACATAATTACATTAGTATAAAATTTCCAAAATTTTTCACACACGTTTATTTGTAATAAATGTTATTATATTAAGAGTCTTTATCTCGGGAAACTTTGAATGCAGCATCAGAAATATATAAAATTAATTCAACTCTGATATCAAGAATACTAATTAGAGCCGATCTCGATTGTCACACCTAGTGATGCAGGTGAATCGTCCCAATGATGCCGCCGTAACTTGTCGTAATTATCTCTGTAATATCTGATATGTAATAATTATAATGAGTTACGAATTTGGCTGCACCTCTAGTCACTATACTAAATATTTATGAGAATGTCCATATAAAAAAAATATCTGCAGCTCATTAATGGACCGTGTCACTGCGCTGAGGTGGCTATTATGGCTTTAGATAGAAGGAAAAATTTTTCGTGATATCAATTACTATAAACTTTTTAAATTTTGTTGTGTGAAATGATAAGACAATTCACCAAAAAATATATCTACCCTATCGGACTTAAAAGGTTAATGCATACTAATTCAGGTAAAGAAATTTTGAATCGCTTATTGCGAATTCGAAGCTACCATAAATGATTGATATTTTACTATAGCTTTCTCTAATGATAAGCAAAGAGAAATCGACGCAATGACTTTAAATCTGATGAAATTTCAGTAATCAATTCATAAACCTAAATTATTTAGTTTTTAGAAACAATTGGCGATGGTGTCGTTGACGCTAATCAAAAAAGTAACGTCATTCTAAATTATTAAAACCAATTGAGCTATCAAAATTCTGCTGCCAAAAACATTAAAGCAACCGAGATAGATTCGAATGAATTAGACGATTCTCCAATTGGAAAAGCTACTGAAACACGAGGCAATGAGAAATAAACACTTATTAAGAAGCTAATGGAGTTATTTAAGTAACATGCAAACATACAGAAATTATAGATGATGGCCACCAGAAAGCAAGACCACCTAGACCCAATTTGCCACATTATGAAAGCTAAAGGATTTTAAATTTTATGACTTTCAAAAGGTTTCTGACTATCAAGTTTAGTTTTGACTGGGCAAAATTCGGCACACTACAAGCGTTTTATAATAACAATAACATTGGATAGTGTTTAAAGGTTCAAATAGCTCTTGATATCTGTCGTGAAATTGTATTTATGCTTACCTGTGAAATTTTATGATATCAAATGCGCGAACATTTTATTAAGTCGTATTGATATGAGATTAATATTTGTAAGAATAACAATAATCATAACAATATTATACTAAATAGAAGACTTCACGATTCGAACCGAAGATGGTAAATTTCAAATATGTTCATCACGATTCGTCTCATACAAGTAATATAGATTGATTAACTGACATCATGAGGTGATGGCTCCTGAAAAATTAGATGAACCACTTAAAATCTCAGTGCGATATACATTCAAATATGAAATCTTCAGATAAATATTCTTATCGATTTATTAAAGTGTTCTTTTGCACGTTGCTTTAAGAACTTGCTTTTGAAAAAATGTATATGAAAATATGAAAGTAGATCAAATTAAGGAACAAGTTTAGATGGAAAAAACTACGTGAGGTATTGGCTCACCAGATATTTGAATAATCCAACAAATTATTGCAAAAATTTAATAATTGCAGATAATATGTTCTTTAAATTTGACTCAAAAATTATTTATATTTTGTTTTATAAAAGATTTTTGGGCCATTTATTAGCCTGTAAATTAAGCCTGGTAACAAAATATAAATATCAGGGCTTCGTTCCAAGATACCTTTTTAAAACTGAATAAGCTATCCATGAACCAGATTCCACTCCATCACTATTCCCAGATAGAACAATAGACTTAGATGGATCTAACTTCAACCACCACTTACCAGAGTTGTCATTGGTCTGTGTTCAAATAATTTTTGGGACCATAAGGAATTGACCAATGTTCAAATAATAATAATAATAATAATAATAAATTTTAAGAATAATTGGACGTATGTCCAATTGTCAATAGTTTATAGGATAGATTCAATAATAATGTACCATAGTTATGTTATGTAAAATCTCTTACAAATTGTTTTCAATTGTACACTGTATAATGTTCACTATTTACAATTTATATGAACATTTAGGATTAGATAAAAAGTACTCCAATTTAATATGTGAAAGCAGGCATCATGCAGTATAAATAATTTCAATTTTTAAATTTTTAAGATAAATATTATAGCGCTGTAATTATAAGAGTTACTATTAAAAGTTACATGTTTTTTTTTTTTTATAATTAATGTCCAATCAAATTATTTGGCGAATTGTGCATTGTCCAAATATCCAATATTTTCATGTGACATCTCTACAACTTATGAGCTTCCTGGAATGACTATGGTTTTTAATTTACCAAGAGTAATACCCTTCGAAGAAAGTATTAAAGCTCATAAGAAAACAATCAATTCAGCTTGGGAATGTTTCCAGTCAGGCTCATCCAGAGTTGGAAAATACAACTGCCAAATATTGGATGGGATATTATTTGTCTGAATGATATCCTTCTGGAGTAAAATAACATGTTAAGGCAAACCAATTACTTAGGGATGGATCAGTCATGAGAAGACCGAATAAGGACCGGTCTTACGGTTATTCGGTCCTCGGTCTTGAGACTGGTCCGGACAGGTCCTCATTAGTTAAAATAGCTAATTAAAGTTATATGTTACATGATCGAATATTTTCAATTGCCGCCGTCATATTATTTAACGCTCTCCGCTAGTCAATAAAATGGTTAGAGGTTTTAAATAACTAGAATTGGCCGCCCTTGATGATCATCCTGATGCTATAAAACTTAGAAAAAGGAATTAATATTTTTTAGTTAAAATAGTCAATTGTGTTTTTTAACCAATTTTATTGTATCGAAAAAACATGATTTTTTTAATTTATTTTATAAATGTTTTTTTTTTTTTTTTTATTATATATATTTATTCACACATTACAGCTTATATTTAATTTATAAAAAAAGAGATATATCAATAAATAAGTTATTCGAACCCTCGTTCTAAAAGCATTAGTTTTTTTTCATGCTTTGACCAATAGAACTATGGATATCTTTTAAAAACTTTTCTTCTTTTAATTCAAATTTTTAAAAACGAAAATTCCGAAATCAGTGATGAAATACACAATGTTTTATTGGAAGAAATTATCATTTAAAAAATATACTAATATTTAACCCGATAATCAAACAATAACGGATATCTGGATCAATTTCTTGTTTTATTAGCTTTACGTATTGAAATTGGGTAAAAAAAAAAATAAAATAAAATAAAAAATACATATAGTAATTATGTTATGTATTTACTTTATATTTTAAGAAATTATCGTCATCAACTGTAAACGTTAATTATATACAATATCAATAATTATTTTTGAAATTAAATAATATTTAAATTATATTGACGGATAATATCACTACTTGGAAGTTGACTAGATACTAATAAAATAAATTAAAAAAAATTAGTATTATTATTCTCGCTCGGATTTCTTTATCAAACATTATTCACTTTATTAAATATTATGAAGATACATGATGGGAGTGGTGCTCCACTACTATTGCATACTGTGCTCATAACAATTTTATGTTCACGTGGAGATAGTCACGTGATGTAGCATAAATGAGGATCGAAAGTACGTCCCACGCTATGGTGTGGCGCATTCAACTTTTAATAAGGTAGCGAGTTCGAGCCCACGCTATGGTGCGGCGCATTCAACTCACTACACATGATAACAGGCAAGGTACTAGGTGCAACGAATGAGGGCGGGGAGGTGGGCCTAACACGAAGGAGCCAGATCGTAATCGGGCAATGAAGAAAACAAGGGAACAAACAAGCGAAGTAAGAAAGCACTAAATTCACCATTTTCTCCCACATGTATCTTTATAATCTCTGTCGCATGCATATCTATAATCTCTATCACATGCATATCTATGATCTCTTATTGCATACAATCACATGCATATCTATTATATTTTCATATAAGCAACAAAACTGGTTATCCTCGCGATAATAACCCTAGCGTGACTTCGTCAACGCATAGGGCTATATTTATGAACTGATAAATGTGAAAAAATGTATTTACCGGTTGTAATAGCTTGAGTAATTTTTGGATGAACGCGACTAGTAAAAAATTTTTTATCGAATTTTTCATCCATTTCCGGCTTTTTTGGTATAGCGGATTTAAATTGTTTCCTTATTTCATGTTCTTCATTTAAATTATCATCTGAAAGAATTTTAACCCATTCCTCCAAAGTTTCAGTTAATTCTTGAGCATCAGGACGTTTACCTGGAATGGCATCCCAACATCTAATCATCAAGTCCTTATAACATTCAGGAGTCCCTTCAATCACTTTTGGTCTTTTTGACTCCAGACAAACTTTTAACATAAAATCAACTTCATTATCGCACATTACGTTATAAAAACGAGGAGAAGGAGCACAAAAAGATGTAAATTGCCACATAATAATTCCAAAGCTATAAATATCTGAAGCTTTTGTATAAGGTTCTCCTCCAAAAATTTCAGGTGCAATGTAAGGTAAAGAACCTATAACTCTTTCATCTATAGTTTGATTCTCTTTACATGCTAATCCGAGATCTGAGATGAAAGCACGTTTGTCTTTATCAAAAAGAACATTCCCACCATGTAAATCTCGATGAACGAGGCCTGCCTTATGAAGGCTTCTAAGATCAATCGCGATGCTCCAAAGTCTGTCGATATGATCTTTCCAATTATCTGTGCTCTTGTATTGATGTAAATTGCCATTTTCTGCATATCGCATTACAATTAGATAATTGTCATGAAGTTGTGTTATCCCATAACAATCTAAAGAGCCCAGATTAATTTTACGACATTCATACATAACTTCAACCTAATTGAAATGTTTACAAAATCAAATAAATGATTAATTTACTTTAATAAACTTAGGAACAATATCATTAATACGTTACCTCTTTAAGAACATCATTTATATCATCTTTCATTAAACGTTTTAAGGCAACCGGCATCTCTCCGAATCTTTCACATTCTCTCTTATTGCTAACCCATTTATTAATATATCCATTTTCCCACGTAGCCTTATAAACAGCACCAAATGCACCTTTGTCAATCAATTCAAGATTTTTAAATTGATTTCCTGGGATCCATTCTAAGACGTGGCCGGGAGATTCGGAATTTTTTTGTGTTTCGTAAAAGAAATTATCAATTTTTGAGTTTCCGCTTTTCAAACTATTTTGTTCGAAATATTTGGTAATGCAACTGATACACCAACGGGGAGATATATTTTTACAATGACAATGAGAACACTCAACTAATTTTTCAATTACAGCATAACCTTCAGATTCAATATATGTTATTCCGTAAACTAGCCGGTCTGACGGTTCTTTTTTCGAATGTTCATGTTCCTGAATAAAGGAAAATATTTGGTGTAAATTCATGAACACTAATAACACACAATCAAAAACACACCATTTTACCTCTTTAAGAAAGCGAACCAAAAGCTTGTCGCAGTAATAATTAGTTATTAACTTAACCCGCTGTTTTTCCTGACGATTCCACTTATGTAATTCTTCGTTCCAAGATAATAAATATCCTTCTTCCCAATCGGCAATATAGTTATTAGAATTTGGGATCTTTTCTAATTTAAATTTAGTTTGATCAACGAATTCGAACACATGTTCGTGACATTCGGCAGTTGTTTGAGTATTATAAATAAAATCGTTTGTTTCTGGATTATTAGTCCAATTTAATTTAAAAAAACGTTTGGAGTTGCATGCTGTGCACCAACTAGTATTCGCGCAATTCGGACAAAGAGAAGTGCAAATTTCGTTCGACATCTTTACTATTATCTTTTATAAGTCTGTACGTACTTAAATAAAATACGAGGGTTTTATGGCATTTCATTGAATATCTTCTATATTAGAAGCTTTTATTTGGTTTAATAAAAAAAAAAAAAAAATTCTGATACAGTCAGTGTTGGAAATCTGTTTTGAGATTTATGTTCTCATAAATGTTCTCGGAAATTTATTTTATTTCATGTTTAATCATTTGTTTTGATTTTCGGACTGATCCGGATTTCACGATTTTTAATTGGTTAAAGGTAACAGGTGACTATCGGGTAATCTCGTGATGTGTTGGCTCTACGTACGCGACCGTCGATGTTACACGACTGACTTTTCACCCGGTGTGCAACATATAAAAAAACTATTTTACAATACCAGATCATTCCGACAGTACATGTTATGATTATAATCCCACACCATTTTTATTATTAAAAATGTGGGATTATAATCATAACATGTACTGTCGGAATGATCTGGTATTGTAAAATAGTTTTTTATATGTTGCACATCGGGTGAAAAGTCAGTCGTGTAACATCGACGGTCGCTCCTGTAACGTACGCAGCCTCGTGTACATTATCTTGGTTTTTTTTATTATGCAATCAACTTTCATTTATAATTGAAAAATGTCCATCATGTCAGAATTTATATAAAATCTCGTTTTTTAAAAAATTGTAAAAAATGGACTGTTTCTATTGAATCACTCCATATATAGAGACCATATTTTTCAAATATTATGTTCTCGATTTTTTTTTCGTAGAGAACATTTACAGGATATCAAATGTTCTTAAATCTAAAGGAATGTTCTCATGAGGACATAAGATTTCCAACACTTGATACAGTACTACAATACCACGCTGCTGAAAAAGTCCGAACCGCTAAAAGGGGTATAAATAATAATACGCATAGTGTGACTTAATAATAGGGGTATAAATAATAATACGCATAGTGTGACTTAATAATATTAGCCCTAAAGCGTACGATGCTAAAGGTCATCTTAATTGCATAGTTATGAATTTTTGGAAATGATTGACTTCAAATTAAGCAAAAAAAAAAAAAGTTTATAAAGGGAATATGGTATGGTTTCACGAATTTGGTTGCGTTATATAAAAACTCTAGTATTCTTTATCAGCTGTTTCGTTGTACTTATTTTCCTGTATAATATGAGTACTTGTGTTTCATATTTGTAAATATCGTGCTACATTAATGTGCATTACGAATTTTTAGAAAACGATGTATCATATTATAATTTTAAAAATCGATGTATCATATTATAATTTTAGAAATCGTCATGATGTTAATAAAATTTTATGTCAATTTTAAGAACAAGGAATCCAGAACTACCCCAACAACACCACCAAAAATTATCAGTTACATGAATATTGTCCAATAAAATCAGCTGTACAAAATTTAGATCATCACTTGAATTAAATTTTTTTACAGCTTCAAACAAAGATATCTCGACAACCGTAAAACAAAATCTGATGAGTTTTTTTTTATTTTGATTCAACAAGTATGTGAAATTAAAATAAAAAAAATTCATCGAATTTGGTTTGATATTTGTCGAGATAGCTTTGTTTAAAGTTTAAAAAAATTCCATTACAACTTTGAATTTTAATAGACGGTTAATTCATTGTAAAATTTAAACGAAGGTATTTCGGCAACTACCAATCCAAATTCTATGAATTTTTTTATTTTTAATTATTTAAATATACAGAACAAAATAAAACAATTTCATGAAATTTGATTTGGTGGTTGTCGAGATACTTCATTTAAATTTTTTTAAAAAAATTTACTGCGGCTTAAAATTTAATTGACGGTTTAATTTATTGACTGTCTTTAAACGAAGATATATCAATTGATGAATCTTTTTTTATTTTGATTCTACAAATATGCAGAATAAAAACAGAAAGATTTCATCGAATTTGCTTTGGTGTGTGCTGAGATATCTTTGCTTAAATTTTAAAAAAATTCTACTACAGCTTAAAATTTAATAGACAGTTTAATTATCGACTAGTGTTAGTAGTCAGTTTCTAAATATTGACTAACTAAGGCGATGTTATAAAATTCGGCATAGTCGGCTTAGCTGATCAAGTAGTGATCATATAAAATAAAATTTTACATTTAAAAATTCTTTTATTGACGATACATAAGTTAATATAGATAAATTGAAGTTATTTATTATAATTGGTTTTTTTTTTTTATCATTATTGGTTTCTTACTAATATGAATTGAAACAATTGCTCATTTCAGAGCACCATACTGTATACTATAAATAAGTAGCTGACTAATAAAAAAATTATTTAAGAAAAAATAAAAATATTCAACTAATATTTTGTTTAATTATATCAATATTTACTGTATATTGAATAAAAAATCTTCAAAAATGGTTTTTCGTATATTTAGTATAGAATTTATAGTAAATCAACTAAGCCGATTTTTGAAAAAATTGATTTACTTAGCCAACTAAGTTGACTAATGTGCTATCGTTACAAACACTATTATCAACTAACTTTAAGTAAAGAAATCTCAATTATCACTAAACCAAATTTGATAAATCTTTTTTATTTTGATTCTACAAACATGTAGGATAAAAAAAAAAAATTCATTGAGTTTGGTTTGTTGATTGGTAAAATATCCTCGATTAAAGTTTGTCAATAACAGATAAGTATAAAACTTAATATAATTTAAAATTTGAAGTACTTTAATAATATTAAATTCAAGTACTTAATTAATATTGCTGTTTAGCAGGCCTAGGGTTGTGTTTGATTCAACTTTTTGATGTTAGCATTAAAACTTCAAGCAAAGTTTTCTTGATGTATCAAACTATATTCGATGAAATTTTTTTTATATTAATATGAAATTAAAAAAAATTCATTAGTATCTATAAAAAAAAAGCTGCATTAAATTTTTTTTTAAATATTAAATAAATATTTCTCAGTAACAACACAATTAAATTCGATAAAATTTATTTTATTTTGATTCTACAAATGCATAGAATTAAAAAAAAAAATCCTCTTGAAATTTGGTTAGATAATCATTGAGAAATCTTCATTTAAAGTTGAAGAAAATAAATTTTACTATGGTTTTTTGATTTTTAGATTATTAACCTTTTTTGCTTAAACTTTAAGCAAAGTTTTCTCAACAACTATCTAACTAAATTTGATAAAAATTTTTTTATTTAATTCTATTAACTCATAGAATTGGTATATAAAAAGAAGACAATTATCATTTATTACCATAGTGATGTATCATCACCTCTGATCGACCAATTATTTTGTTTGTTTTGATTTTACATTAATCAAAACAAAACAAATAGTGACTATGTTATAATTAGAGTTAGTGGTTGTTGAAGCAGAACTTAAAAGGCTTTTCTAATCTAAAATTTTGCAAGAAATTTTTTTTCAAAAAAAAAAAGCAGTTCTATAGTCAAAATTTTATGTTAGAAGCGATTTTTTAAAAAAAACTTTGGTTTTGCTTCAATTTCACATTACACCTAATCTTGCATCCTAATTGGTTAATCAGGGTGGCGATACATCACCATGGTGATAAATGATAACACTCTAAAAAGAATTCACTAAAATTAGCTAAGTATTCATCGAGAAATATTAGATTAAAGTTTTAAAATTTAAAAGAATTTTTATAGCCAACTATTCTCTGATGTATTTCAATGTACTGTATTCTGACCTGGAATTTTGGGTATTGTATAGTATTATACAGTATATTGATTAACAAAGTTATACTTTTGATATTTTTATTTTAAAATCATCAAAAACAATTATTTTGTGTTTTTGTCGATCTGGCCCTAAACCAGAATTAAGCAAGTTTTTGAGAGTCAAATCAACAAAAATCGCAAAAATTGGCCAAAATTATACTTTTAAAAATTTGAACTGAAAAAATTTAAAAATTATTCTGATATGGATTAACAGTGATAATGAGACCTATAATATAGAAATTCTACGAATCTAGCAGGAGGTGTAAGCTTCATTTACTTAATTTCCTCAGCTTGAAGCATTAGAATTTTATTTATTTATTTTTATTTTTTCTTCAAATTGCTAAATTTCTGCACTAATAGTATTCGTAGCACTGATAATATTTAGAATTAGTTTTATACAGAATTTTTAATAAACTGTTTATACTTTTATACTTCATTGTGTTATGTAAAAAAATTAAATGGTATACTAGTCCATGTAACGAAACAAACAAGTAAAATGGCCTATAGAATTTAAATAGAGAATTATTTTTTATACCCCCCTAATTTATTAACTGTACCCCTCTGCAGATTTACATTTTTTTAAAACTTTGAGCGAAGATATCATGAAACCACCAAGCCAATTTTGACAAAACTTTTTTTCTTTGCATTCTATAGATTCATAGAATTCAAATAAAAAAAAGTTCATCGAATTTGGCCTAGTAGTTGCTGAGATATTATCGCTCAAAGTTTGAAAAAAATCAAAACGTCTATCAAAATAAACAATACAAATTTTTTTTAAACTTTGAGTGAAGATATCTCAGCAACCACTAGGCCAAATTCGATGAATTTTTTTTTATTTGAATTCTACGAATCTGTAGAATGCAAAAAAAAAAAAAATTATCAAAATTGACTTGGTGGTTGTCATGATATCTTCGCTCAAAGTTTTAAAAAAAGCCAAAATGTATATCAAAACAAAAGCTGTGCCAAATTTTCTCAAAGTTTGAGCAAGAATATCTCGACAAGCACCTAGCCAATTTTGATGAATTTTTTTTATTTAAATTCTACAAAGCTGTAGAATGCAAAAAAAAAAATCATAGAAATTAACTTGTGGTTGTCAAGATATCTTCATTTAAAGTTTTAAAAAAACTTCAAAATGTATATCAAAACAAAAGCTGCATCAAACTTTTTCTCAAACTTTGCATGAAGATATCTCGACAACTACCAAGCCAAATTTGATGATTTTTTTTTTATTTGCATTCTAAAGATTCGTAGAATTTAAATAAAAAAATTCATTGAAATTGGC